AGGAGAAATTAATATTATGTACAGGGAAAAATTAGTTAAAAGCATTCATTACATGGTAGTTGATTTATTATTAATTTCTCATAATGAGTTTATACTCACAATTGTAAAAAATCGTAAGTGATACTCATAATTGTATGCGATTGAAAGTATATCTCTTTTGTATATTTATGGTTTTTTATGTGTGTGAGTAAACATAAAATTTATATACCCATGAATTATACATTGTAATTAATAGCTTTTTTATGTACCTACACAAATTTAAATTATATAAGTGTAGTTTAATTTTTTTATGATTTTTTTATAGGTATAATTATAATTTATTTATGTACCCACAAATAGGGATGGTAATTCTCCCCGCTCCCCGTGGGGCTCCGCGGGGATCCCCGTCACGAGGACGGGGCGGGGAGGAATATTCCTCCCCACGGGGTGGGGATGGGGACCATTTTCTCCCCGCGAAATTTCGCGGGGAATTTTCCCCGCCCCGTGGGGCCCCGCGGGGATCCCCATCCCCACAAAAAAAAAAGTTTTTATTTTAAAATTAATTTATTCTTTAAACCCAAACCCAAACCCAAATCCAATCTAATTACAATTAAACTTAACTCATTACCTGTCTCTTTTACACATCTAGAGGTGTATAAGAGACAGGAATTTTTTTATTAGGAACAATTAAGATATTGTGGAGTAAGGATACCCCATGGATATGACTCTTTTTATTTTAGATTCATTCTTTTGGGTTATCTGGAAATTTGTTGTGTCTTTTTTCTTTTATTTGAAAAAAACTGTAGTATATAGTTTGAAGTACTTCAGATATTTTTCATACTTTTTTTTTTTTAATTTCTAACTAAGTTTTTTTTTTTTTTTAATTCTAGCCATTGTTAAAAAAAAGGAGAAATTAATATTATGTACAGGGAAAAATTAGTTAAAAGCATTCATTACATGGTAGTTAATTTATTATTAATTTCTCATAATGAGTTTATATTCACATTTGTAAAAAATCGTAAGTATAAGTTAGTGATACTCATAATTGTATGCGATTGAAAATATATCTCTTTTGTATACTTATGGTTTTTTATGTGTGTGAGTAAACATTAAATTCATATACCCATGAATTATACATTGTAACTAATAACTTTTTTTATGTACCTACACAAATTTAAATTATATAAGTATAGTTTAATTTTTTGTATGAATTTTTTGTGGGTATAGCTATTATTTATTTATGTACTTACAAATCATAAACCATAACTAATAAAACTCTATACCTATGAAATATTGATTATAGGTAAAAAAAAAAAAGCATAAGTATATGGTAAATATGTTGTAGTGAATACCGCTGGTGGATCATAGTTTCATGTCGACGGTATAAATGTATCTTCATTGTCATAACACAATTCCAAAAATTTTGATCTCTTGGTCAGTAAGAATAATTTTGTAAGATAAAGCTAAAGATTTAAATACACTGAGACTTAGATAAA